GCAATGTGAGTTGCGGCTTGATTGTTTGGTCTTAGTCTTGGCAGGGGCAACGGTGTCCCGCGATTCTTTTTGCATGCTGTATTGATTCTTCTGTAGCTTGTGTAAATCAAGAACGTCGTAAACTCTTTGATGGAGCCAATTGTATGTCTTGATCTCCTCTCCGTTCTCATCTTTGGCTCCAGCCCTGGCTTTGTTGTATTTGCTCATGTCTTCTTTCATCCAAGGATGTCTCTGAACCTGAGTACGAAAGAGGGATTCCATGATGTACATCTCGGGTAGTTTGGTAAGAGCCAATAGTAATCGATCCCATTCGACGATGAAACGCTGGAGATCGTCTCCGTGCATGCGTAGATTCTTAATGCGATCAAAGTCGTGAAGGTGATCCTCGGCAACGGTGACGTCAAATGAACGGATAATTTTCTGATATACCTGACGTCCTTTAAGCATGCGCTTGGCTTTGTGTTCAACGTCCTCTAACAGCTTCATTTGCAATCTTAACTCATGTGGGAGGATCTCGAGAAGAGCGTCAGCTAACTTACAGTCGAGGCTCTCGAAGTCGCCGCTGTCGGCGAGATCCTCAAAAGTCATCTCAGGGTTCTCCGCTATCATGATGAAGGCGTACGCCTGAGCTGGGCGTCCAGAGGCGTTTCTGAAACCCTTACGGACTCCGTTCATCCAATCGGCGACTCCTGTGATCTTAGGGAAGCCTGGGACCCGAACACGGTCACTTTCTTTGACTGTGGCAGGAAGTAGTGACCCGCCAGCATTATACGGGGATTGCGCAACGTTGGAGCCGAGTGTACCTATATTAATGGGAGAGTGTGTTCGAAAGCTAGCATTGTCTGCAGCTGTCTCAGGGGCAGAAGGCTGGGCTGCGGTTCCCCGCTGCTCGTCAGCACCAGTTCCTGCCTGAGGAAGTGTCGGCTTGGAAGCGGCCCCAGTAGAACCCCCCGCATCGCGAGCAGCGGCGTCAGGGGAGGGGCGGCGATAGCCGGTATCAGGTGTATGTTTGGCTGCGTCCGCGATGTGATCTTGTATTGTTTGCTCAAGCGTGGTGTTGTCTGCTTGCAGTTTTGCGACACAATCAGACAATACTTCCCATTCAGCGTGTTGATGTTTCTGAGTGTCTGTGAGGAATCGAACGTCATCCTTATTGTGGGTAGTAAGATTGACAATTAGAGTACGCAGGTCAACATTCTCGTTAGCAAGACGAGCCATCTCAGCGTTCATTTGATCCAGGCGCGCATTCGCGCGTGCTGACTCGGCATCCCTCTCGGCCACAGAATCCTGCAGCTGCCTTTGCAAGTGGGCCACCTCCGCTCGGACGGTCTGTAGAACAGCTGCCGTCACGTCGGGGTTGGTCACCGTAGCAGTGGGACTCACCTGCGCAGTATGAGCCCGTGCGACCTGCAGCTCAGCTACGGTCTGCTCGAGAGTGTGGACTCTGGATAGAAGCTGTGGTACATGTTGAACCTGACAGGAAGAGAGTTGAGCTTGGAAAGCGTTCTCGGCCTCACATAACTTGCCATACAAATCTTGCTGAACGGAGCGTGTATAATCGTGCAGCTCACGTGCTGCAGCTTCCGTTTCACCACGGATCGTGGCAATATGACCTTGTAGTGCGGTGGAAGGCGCTCCGAAGGCACCTGAAGCTGTGCCCGCGACTTCTCGCAGCTCTTCGCGAAGAATGCGTGCACGTTCATCGTTGTGTTGACGAATCTGAATGACGCTAGCTTCAAGTCGATCGAAGTCGGACTTGACGGCCACAAGTTCGTTAGTCTCGCGATCTCGTTGTGTATCGAGACGCTGCATCAGCTGTTGCATGATCCGACGGTCCTCTTGGACGGCAGCGTCCAGGATCGAAAGACCCTGTTGGAGGTCACTCCGGAGGACGGCGGTATCAGAGGCCACAGCCTTGTGGACGAGGCTAGTTTGATATTCAACGTATGTGTGCACGTGATCTCGTAGCTCAGCCATGTCTTGCATTGGCAGAGCCTCCCTATGTCGGTTTGCGGCTGGGGAACTATGGGGCCTAATACGAACCCCCCGGACAGATGGACTCCTACTGCCGCGATCGTCTCGAATAATGTACTGTTCGGGGCCACGCCTGGGAGCTTGGCTCTTAGAATGAGCACGGCGACTAGGGCCATGGTCAGAAGTACGGTTTTCGAATTCACGGACTCGCTCATAAACCTGTCCCTGTTCAATCCCTGTTTGTTCGGGCGTCCCATGGCCCCACCTTCGTGTGCCTGTGCCTCTCTCTCTCGGAGGGGAGGAAGGTGTAGGCATGTGTGGAGCTGCGGTATCCCGCTGCACTGTCTGGGACGGTGCTGCGGTGGCCCGCTGCGCTGTTTGTGGCGGGGCTGCGGTTTCCCGCCGCGCTGACTGGTGCAGTGCTGCGGGAGGGACGTCAGATGTGGTATGAAGGGTGGGGAATTGAGGCGTGAGCCCTGGAGCGGCGTGTAGGAATCGCTGCTGTAGGGGGGTCTGATCTCCAATAGGAAGTGGGGGTGCGGAAACGCTATGAGCATGCAAGGCACGAAGCTGTTGCAACTCAGCTTGCATAGCGTGGAGCTGAAGTGCCGCCTGGGTGGGCAACGCTGGCATTGCTGCGGTTTCCCGCTGCATTGACTGCGCTGCACTGGGTGGGGGCATAGCTTCGTCCAATCCGTCGGTTCCTGGAGAGATGGCCATGCGGGCCGCAAAATTGGGGGAAGCTCCTAGAATATCGGACATATCAGCATCCAAGTTGCGCGCGACTGACGGCGACGACTCATCATGCGGGAGGACGGACGACTGGTGTCGTGCCGTCATCTCGCATAACTAGTCCGATGTCGTCAGGTCGGGGCGCAGGTTGGACGCGATGTCGGATATAAAAGAGAAGGCTGATAACCTGTGTGAGGGTGAGGAGGACCAATGGACCGACCCCACCCCCGAGTGTCCGTCGGTAGACGATGAGGGACGATGGTTTTACCCAACGTACCTCCAAGTATCGAGTACCTGTCATCCGAGCCAAGAGGGGCGATGGATATGAGCAAGATAGGAGGAAAGTAGGGGGATTCACACACACGATCCCCCACTCCTTCCTTATCTCGGGTCGGGCGAAAGGGGGAAATAGCAAAGGGGGGGTTTGAGAATCAGCTCACGCAGCTGATTTTCCCAGCGCCTCCCGGCACCAGAGGCGGCTATGTATCGAGGAATGGGCCCCTCGGTGAGGCCGAAACCAGCTGCATGTAGCAAATTTCGTACCCCCCCCTTTCCCAATCCCCCCCTTTCGTCCGGCCCGATTATCTTATCTCGTCCCTGTCGCACCCCGAGGCGTGCCGGTAAGGCGAGCCGGGCGTTTCGCCCGAGCTTCCCTTACCGTCTATCCTCAAGCTGAACATGTTCAACAGTTTTACTGATGCAGGGCGAATCGCTTTCAAACTTTGGCTCTCGCTTTAGAGCCGCGCATCATCGACTTAACAAGTGGAAAGTACTTCACGGATGGAGGGCGGGCAGTTTTCAAAATGTGGCTCTTGCCTTAGCGCCGCGTACTTTCTATTCTGACATTTGCAGCAGCTTCAAACACTGACGGCGGGCGGTTTTCAAATTGTGGGTCCCGCCTTAGCGTCGAGCGCACTCGTCTTAAAAATCAGCAAGAGATTCACGAATTGATGGCGGGCAGTTTTTAAACATAACTCTCGCCTTAGCGCCGCGCACATTATTTTCAAATGCTTGCAAGGGCTTCACGGATTGATGGCGGCCAATTATCAAAATGCGGTATTCGCCTCAGCGCCAACCACATTCGTCATGAAGATTTTGCAGCCGCTTAACACATTGAGGCGGTGCGTTTTTCAAATGGTGGCTCTCATCTTAGCGCCGCGCGCATTCGTCTTTTCAGGACATAGGAGTTTCAGTGGCTCCCATGGTCAACGTACCAGGGATGGCGTTTTGGAGCGATCCAGGAATGTGAGGGCGCAACAGTTAGTTTGTGTCGCGGCGCCGAAGTCCTAGGATTCAGGAATGTCAAGACGCAACAGCCAAGTGGATTCGCGCAGATCGAGTCCCGAGAATGGTGTTTTGGCACGCTGCAGGATCTTCCACGGTTATCTTCCCACGAGGCATCTTTCTCAGTGGAAATGATTCCTTGTAGGGGCCTATGAAGAGGGAGCTTGGAGGGAGGATGTATTCCAACATCTTTGATGAGTCTTGGGTTTATACTGATCCTCCTCCTCCTCCTCCTCCTCCTCCTCCTCCCCCTCCTCCTCCCCCTCCTCCTCCTCCTCCGCCTCTTCCTCCTCCTCCTCCTTCTCCTCCTCCTCCTCCGCCTCTTCCTTCTCCTCCCCCTCCCCTCCCCCTCCTCCTCCTCTCCCCCTCGATCGCTGACGCCAGGATCCTCGGGGGTGCACCTGCCGAAGAAGGCCGCCGGCCGCGGCGCCTGCAGAGGCCCCGCGGGGCCCCGACGAGGGCGGGCAGTGGGTCCCGGGGCCCCGCGGGGCGTGCCGGCGCCTGCGACGGTCCCCGAGGCGTGCAGGCGCCCGGGAGCCCGACCGCGGCGAAAAGCCTCCCTGGGCTCCTCGCCTCCAGGGCCCCATCTCCTCTGCCTCGAGTGCGCCTCTCTGAGATTCCGCGTCTTCTCCCCGACCCCGCCTCGCCTCCAGGGCCCCCTCCTCTCCTCCAGGACCCCTCCTCTCCTCCCCCTCGCCCCCCCTAGGCCAATACGCCCCCGCCCTCTCCGCCAGGACCCATGTCCGACCTCCCCCTCCATGCCCGATATATCGGCCGCACCTCCCGACGAGGGCCCGCCCGCCGCATGTGGACCCCCTCGCGCGGCCCCGCGTGGTCCAGCGGCGTCGGCATCGGCGTCGGCTCCACCGCCGTCAGCGTCTGAGTCAGCGTCTGCGTCTGCATCAGCGTCTGCGTCAGCATCTGCTGCTGAAGCAGCTTAACGGCGTCAGCGTCAAACCGTTCTCGTCGTCCTCGTCGTCGTCGCCGCAGGCCGTGGGGCTGGCAGGCGCCTCCCCCCAGGGCCCCGCGTGTGTCAGCGGCCGGCCGTGCTCGTCCAGCAGGTGCTCCGCGCGGTGGGCGCCCTGCGCGACCACCTGGCGGGCCGGCGTCGCCGCCGCGGGCGCCGCCGTCAGCGTCGGCGTCGGCGGCGCCGCAGGCGTCGGCGTCGCAGGCTTCGGCGTTGTCGTCGGCATGCGTCGGCGTTAACATGCACCGTCGTCGGCGTCGGCGTACCCTTGCTCTCCTCCTACTCGTCACCGCACAGCGCCTGCTGCCAGAGACAACGTGAAAGCAAGTGCCCAGTGCAGCTCCCCAGAGGGATGGGGAGGGGGATAAGCAGAACGCACGATTGTTCCAAAACGCGCGAACGGCTTGACCCGTAACTTGGTAGTCTTACCACGTGGCCAGCATTTTCAGGCAACGCTGACGCTCGCGTCGCTGAGATATACTACTTTAGTATGCGTTACGTCCGTCGGCTCCAGGCCAGCAGATCGAAAAGAACCCGTGCCAGAAGAAATCATCCCATCAGCCGGCGGATCTCGAGGGGATGGTGCGTGCACTAGGAGGGCTAGAGGAACAACCACCGAATGACCTAAGGAACATCGAGCCCCTTTCGTGCCCACAATGTTCCTTACTTCAGCGTCTTGACTGCAGTCATCACCGCCCTCTCGGCCTCTCCCGACGGTATGGCCGGGGAGCAGGCGGCGCGCCAATCCCAGCCTTGAAGGCGTCGTACCCGAGGTCCCTGGCCTCCTCGAGGCACGCCAGGCTGTTGAGCTCGAAGGAGAGGTACCTCCCGTGCCCGGGAACCCTTTTGCCTCCAGCGGCGCGGGGAAGAGCGGGGGGCGTCAGGGAGATTAGGAGGCAACTACTGGGAGGTCTCCTCAATCGGAAAGGTCAAGGAGAATTGAGCCCCGTCGGGGGGCTGCTTCGCCAGATTAGGCCGCGGAGCAAGCGGGATTAAACGGGATTCAGCCAGAATAAACGGGATTGAGCGGGATGAAGTCGGAATGAGCCAGATTAAGCGGGATTGATCCGGATTCAACCAGATTTCGGACCAGAGCACAGCCAGAATTTGACCTCTCAGGAGTTGCATCCGAAGGGAGATGGTGGTGCGGGCTTTTCCGCTTTCCCGCCTCTCTGTGCCTGCTGTGCACGCCTCTGCTCGCAGATCGTCGTGTTCACGCGTGTGTGTTACTTCTTTCGGCGCTAGCGTTCAGATGCGAGGCTCGCTTCAATCATCGCCGGCGCAGCGTCAAAAGCAGGGAGACAATTCCTGCTCGACGCGTGTATAGCCTCACTTCTGGGCCTCCCGGCCGCCAAGGCTTCGGCTCTGGCCTCGAGATCCTGGCAGGGGCGCGCTCTCTCCAGGGGCGGGCCCGGGGGCCGAGTTCTAGAAGGGTTCCCTTGGCACCGTGGCAGAAGCACAGCGGGCGCTCTCGATCGCGGTGTCGGCCTCCGAGGGCCGCTGTCGGGCGCCGTGAGGCCATCCAGAAACAAGGCGCGGCGAGCAGCCAGTCTCACCAACGGGGGTGGAGGATGACGTGGCACGCGGGGCCCCGTGATCCTCCATGGCGCCCGCCTCGCATGAGCCTCACTTCCGTCCAGCGTTGCGGGTCATGGGAGTGCTATCGGAGGAGGGATCCCAAAGGTTTGCCGACCGTCCTCGAGGCTGAGGGGTGGGGGCTTCTGGAAGCCCCTTCGGTGGTTTTCCAAGCACTCTTACGCACGAGGGCTCTTAAAAGTAGCTTTAGGCTGCCCCCCTTCCTCCTACTCCTCCCTCCGTGTTGCATTCGTACGTAGGCCTCTGCGCGTGACGGTTCTCAAGTGTAGAAGTTTGTTCCTGTCTGCGTTCTCGCCCACCGCAGTTCCCACATCGGAGAACGGCAGAGCGCTCATGCCCCCGTCCGATGACTAACTCCCTCTCCTCCGTACCCTCCTGTCCCGCCCCCCCTCACCGTGCTCATCTCCCTCCTCCCTCTCATCCCCCCAGCCCCTGCTCCTCCTTCTCCCTTTCCTCCTCCTCCTCCTCCTCCTCCTCCTCCTCCTCCTCCTCTGCCCTCCTTCTCCTTCTTCTCCCTGCCTCCGCCCTCCCTCCTCCTGCCCCCCCGCCCATTTCTGCCACACTCCTTCTCCATGCCTCCATCTATGATCCCTTGCTGCATCCTCCCAGCAGGTGAGAAACAAGATTTCTGCTAAAAGAAATTGACAGCGTCGCTCACGACGCATCCAACTGCTAGCCCAGCTGCCCTGCAGCGTTGCTCCACAGGTTCTCACGTTCAGGCTAGGGATGCATCTCTCGAGTGTGCTCTGCCTGTACCTGCATGTTTCCTCCGCCTCTCCTCCTTCTCCTCCGCTTCGTCCTTGCCTCCTTCTCCCCTCTCTTCCTTCCATTTTGCTCCGTTCTCGGTTGCCCCTCCTCCCCGTCCCCAAAACTCCACGACTCCTCCCGCATCGCTTCCTTACATTCAGACTCCCCTCCTCAGCCCTCGTTTTCCCCCTCCCTCCTGCCTCCCGCAAACTTTCACCCCTTCTCCCGCAACGATGTTCCAGAATCCGGCCCCCCTCCGTGTTAACTTCTGTCTCTCCCCTTCTCGAACTCCATCGTTGCTCACTCATCCTCCTCATGTCATCATGCCCCTCCTTCTCGTCATCATCGCCGTGATCACTTCACCACCACAACCATCATCGCCACCAGAATCGTCATCATCGTCACCATCGCCACCATCACCACCATCATCATCTGCATTATGTTTATCCCCCTTCCTCCCCCTCGCCACTGTCGTCACTATCGCCATTATTCCCAGAGACTGGAAAAAATATTCAAACAGTTATCCGATCCGCGTCGCGACGTCTGGAGGAGCCGAGGCGAGCTTTGGGACTGCAGCGCCGATGCTGAGAAAGCCTTCCTACGCAGGAGTGATAAGCGAAATGGGGCGGCTTTGGAGTGAGGAGGAGGCTCGCGAACCAATATCCCAACCAATGCCCAAGACACTACGGACAGGAACTTCCGCTTAGCGTGTCGCGGCGGCGGCCCCGGCAACACGCTATGCCGTGCGAGCTGCTGGCGGGTCGCTCTGCCTCATTGTGCCGCCCACCCTGAATACTGGTCAGCATTGTGCCGCAACCGTATCTGGCCCAAGCCCTTCTGGCGCCCTGCCCACAATTTTTCTTCCAAGACGTCATGGCAGCATGCACTGTTCAAATCCGCGGGTCTCGAAGTGCTGGGCAGTAGAGCGTCAGATTGAATATGGCAAATCTACAAGATCGCCCACGTCCTTCTTGAATGCAGTCTTCACGTTTGTGTGCACAGACAATGATGACAGAACGTTCCACACAGAGAGTGGGAGCGCACGGCCGAGCGGTAGCGACTCGCTCTTCGGAGGACTTGCTGTACCCAGGCCGCACTCCATACATACATGATGTGTTACACGATGGTTTACACAAGTTGTTAGAGAAATCGCATTTGGAGCGATACTTTGGGTAAATTAAGACACGTCATGTTTTCTCAGACGCTGTTTGTCAGAAGCTCTCGCTTCTCCTGCGAGCCTCTGCGGTCCCTGCGGTGTTGAGCCCGGCGATGTGGGAGTCCAGGTGCCCTGGGCGGGGTACGTGCGTACACGTCGAAAAAAACCGTCAGACAGTGGCCACGTTGAGGGTGTTGTTTTTCGCGTTGTTTGATGTCCTAGCCTTGGGGCTTCAGAAGGAGAGGAAATCACCTTGTTGCGCTGCACGACATTATTTTTTGTCGTTTTTCGATGCGGCTGTTTTTTTTTTTTTTGAATTTATTGTTATGTTCAAAAAAAAGCTGCAATGATTTCTTGAGTCGGGAGAAGCGGATTCAATGTTTTTTGTGAGGGCAGCCCCGACGGTCGCGACCAGAGCTTGAAACGTTTTCAGGGTCCAGGAGGCCAGAAGTCACACTCAAAAACAACGACAGGAAAAGGGGAATAGGTAGAGCAAGCAAGAAGAAGGAGCGGAGGACGAACGAATAATCACGCCCTGTGCGTCGCGGCCTGGCCTGGAAACCTTCCCTTCGCCAAGGCGGCCTGACTATGACGCGAAGATAACCGCGCAATGAGCATCGCGGGCCGTGGGCCGCGAAGTGAAAGCCTAGGCTGTCCGTCGTCGCGTGTGAGATCGAGTGTGCGACCGAATGTGAGATCGATAGTGGGATCGATACTAAAATCTGCCCTGAGATCGATAATGAGATCGTCGTTCGCAGCCATTTTGGCTGTAAAGCGCCATGGACGCTGAAATCCATCACTTGTCCAAATTGTTGCTGAGACACGGGCATATCGTGCCATCCGCGTTTCCCGACACGCGATGGCCAGCGATTCGGTTCACTCGCTGCTCGCTTGTGGTGCTCATTGCAGAGCTGAACGGTTCCTCTTTCTTCAACATTTTCCTGCCTACTCCTCCTTATCCGTTTTCTTGCCCTCGTCTTCTCGTCGTCCACTCTGCCAGGTTCAGCTGATCAAGATGCAGCTGGCCTTCGCAGAGCTGTATTTGCAGGCGTTCCTGCCGATCAGCAGGACTTCCTCCCCACTCCATTCCTCCACTCCTTCATGCTCTTTCTCTTTTTTGGACGCCCGAAATGGGTACGGAAGGAATGGGTACAATGCCCAACAGCAGTTCCTGTTCATTGTGAACAGGATTCGCTGTCCACGCCGCCGCGGCCTATGTTCATTCGAAACAGAAGGCCGCCTGCCCAACAGCGGCCGCTGTTGGTTTGGGACAACATTTGTTGTTGGGCATTGTACCCATTTTTCCGTACCCATTTCGGGCGTCCAAATCTTTTCCCGCGAGAGGACCTCACCTCCGCGGACGTCCGGCAGTTGTTGGTCGCCTTCGGCTCGGCCGTCCTCTCGATCGAGGGTTGGCGTCGGGCTGACTCAACCAGCTATTCCACAGTTTTCTGGCGCCGTCGGAGAGCAGCAGCAGCAGCAGCAGCAGCAGCTGCAAAGCCTCCACCACCCGCAGCACGAGCAGCACGTCGAGTGCCAGCCAGGTTAGCAGAGGGAGGAGGAATGAGGAAGGAGAGGAGAAGGATTAGGAGGAAGCGGCGGAGGAGAGAAGGATAGGAGGAGGAGGAGGGGGAGGAGGAGGAGGAGGAGGAGGAGGAGGGGTAGGACTTGTTTAATGTCCCAGAACATCGAAGCCCTCTTAGAACAGTTCTTTGGGCACGGTCGCCTTGAAGGATCCTTGGGCCATGTTGAAACCGTCTTGGACATGATTTGGTTCCTCCTCCTTCTCCTCCTTCTCCTCCTCGTCCCCCATCATCATCCTCCCATCCTCCTCCCATCCTCCTCTATTTTATCACTCGAGAGGCCACCACGACGGGTGCGGCGACTCCCACGACTACCGTCTATGGTGCCAGATTGCCATCGTGTGATTCAGAACCTGCAGAAGAAAGTTGACTATTGGAAGGGCAGGTGCAACACTATCAAGCAACGCGGCGATGCCGAAGTGAAAATGTATCAGGACACCTACATGTTACGCGTCAGGTCCAAACGCCGCAAGGTCGGCGCGGCGAAACACATTCTGTCTGTACGAGGTGGTTTTACTCTGGCTGTGAAACGGAATATTGGCCACGCTGGCGCTGACGCAGTCTTACAACCCCTCGAAGTTCCCACCTCGCGATGTACTGTTGTTCGGTGGGGGTTGTTATGTGCTGCCGCTGTGTTGGGCCTTTCTCGCGCCTGGCACAAGGATAACTACGATTACGTTGCCTACATGCACCGGGCGCATGCGGGACTTCCACGAGAGTTTCACCGGGCATTCAGCTACTTAGTAGACTCGGTGCGTGGCGACGCAACGAATGCAAAGATTGGCGGCTCGAAGGCTCACGTGACCGAAGTGGCATCTGTGTTTCATCACTTACCACCTCCAGCGCATCTCGACGTTCTCGATGACGACCCTGTTCCACCAATCAAGGCTACCAACTGCGTTTACACTGATGTGCTGCGCGCCCCAGAGAACTGTGACGCAGAGGTGCAGAGAGCAATGTTCCTGAAACATATTGCTAGCGTCGGTGCGAAAGATTGGCTGCGTCACCCGATGCATGAAGATCACGAAGACTGGAGTCAACAGGATGGCGATCACAGCTTTGTTGGTGGTAAGTACTTCCACTTGTCTGTATGGATGTTCGCGACTGATCAAGGAGGAGAGAAAAAGGCGGCGGCCAAGCTCATAGAAGCAGATTGCCGATACATGAATTTGACCCTTGTGTTCCGACGGTGGCACATGCTTCACGAGATGGCGCTCATTGCAAAGAAACAGATGACTTCGCTCGATCGACACTGGGGAAAACTCGCAAATATTATCAACATCTGGAGAACTGGCAGCAACGCGGCGAAGCTGCATCAGAAGTACAAGGAGGCACATGGGGAGAAGCGAGCAAAGGAGGCCGTGGGCATATTGCCTGCGCGCCCTCTGCGAGGCCGTTGGGGATCTGCTTCCAAAGCCGAATACTTCTTGATGAATGCGACGCGTGCTGAGTTGGTGCCTGCGTTCACTGAAACTCTACCGGGCGCGGAGCCCAAAGAAAGGAGAAGCGCCACTACTGTGCCCGGCATCGACGAGGATTTCGAGGAAGAGGGTTACAAAAAGCGAATTGGTCGATGGCTCAGTGGGGCGCTCGAGTGCCTTCGTGGGGACCAGTTCTGGGGCGACCTGTACCTTGCCCACATTTTGGTCAGTTTCCGATCGCATGTCGAATTGGCTACAGAAGTGCCAGGGTGACAAGAGTACCTCAACGAAACCGCCCATTGTCGAGATGGTGCGCGGAAAGCTACTTCAACTGGAGTCTGAGTTTAACGAGCGTGTTGATGATGAGAAGTTCAATGACATATGGATGCCGCTCCTCGATGTTGTGGGCCATCGTAATGCGCCTTATTGGATTGGGCGGATTGTTCAAGTCTCCTTGGAATCGGCAACGGACTTTCATTGGCGTGTTTTGCGACCGTCTCGGCAATTCCCCCGCAGATTGGCATGGGTGGTTTGGGAGCTCCCCCACGTATCTTGCCCGCATCGAGCCCGAGTTGCCCGCGGCCTTCTGCATTCAGAGGCCATTGACATCCACGACGAGGCGTTCGGGCTTCTGTTCGGCAAGGAGCTCATGAAGACGGCCAACACCGGCGAGCTACCCCTCAGCATTCACGAGTTCCTCTGCGACGTACTCATGATGTGGAGGTTGGACACGCAAGAGATCGAGGGCGTCAACTCGGTGTTGAAGTACTGTACCAAGGTATCGTCGAATTTGGGATGGAAAATGACGTCGGCAAGCACAGTTCTAAAACAAACGCCTACTTTTGTGCAAGGACTCTACTTCCAGGTCTAACCTCATCGATGCATTCGTTGATAGCCAGCTGATCACCATAATAGGTTCAGTAAAGTTACTGCTGCGGACTACCCATTGCCTGGCATTCCGCTCGCGCGGGGTGATCGACCAACTACTATCCACAACATATGCGGGGCTAAGCTTGGTATTTTACTCAAGCGTGTGCTGCGAGATAACAACATGGAGTTCGACAGGTCTTCCTCGTGTGCGCTTCAGATGCTGATCACCAATGACGATGGCAGCGAGGACTTCGGAGAATGCTGGATTCCATCTATGAAGTTTCGTTCCACACTCTGGTCCACGCGCTGCGTGGACTTAGGTCTTGATGGGAGTTCGAGCTTAAGCTCCATTGCTTTACGATGGCCGCTGGGAATGTTCGACGTGCTAGAGGTATTCAGTGCGGCACATGCCAGGTGCGTCAGTGAAGAGCAAGGCGATGATGAAGGGGGGCCAGCGGCGCGTCGCTGGATCGGGTCTCCAGAGGAAGGAGAGGAGGAGGAGGAGTAGGAGGAGGAGAAAGAGGAGGAGGAGGAGGAGGAGGAGGAGGAGGAGGCCCTGAAGAGGAGGAGGAGAAGGAGGAGGACGAGGAGGAGGAGTGGGAGGAGGAGGAGGGGGGGAGAAGGAGGAGGAGGAGTGGATGCCTGAGGATGATGACTCTGACTCCCCCTCCTACAGGTCACTCAGCATCGAGCTCTTGCAGTTGGCATGGGACCTGGGCTCCAGCCAGGTAGCGTCGGTCACTGACGTCATCGGAGAGATTGACCTACAAGACGTGTGCCTCTGCTGCGGTGGTCGAGGCCGCGGCCGCGGCCGCGGTGGGCCCAGCGGCGGCGGGGGCGGTAGACGAGGACGAGGCCATCGTGAGGACGGCGACGACTCCAGCGACGACGACTCTGGAGACGATGGCGGGCGAGGAGGTGGAGGCGGCCGGCGCCTTGCAGGCGCAGGTCGTCGAGGACGAGGGCGAGGGCGGCGAGGTCGCGGCAGAGCCGATTTCGAACCGCCCGCTGATCAGGCTAGAGATGACCTTGACCTTGAACTGGAAGCAGCTGCTCATGACGCCTTAGGTGGAATTGTTTCTGCTATGAAGGAGCACGACGATGTTTGCGAGGGTTTCGATCTCTCTCTCAGCGATGATGAGGGCGTCAACAATGATGAGGAGAAGAGAGCATCCACCTTCTTGTCGGCGTCAGCTGCCAACACTAACTTGGGACGTGTTGCTGGATTTGTGGACGTTGCTATGGGCGGGCAGGTAGGCAGTTTGATGGAAGATGCCGTTGACGCAACTCTCAATATTAAATTCCAAGCCGAGGTCGACACCGCATCAGGTCATTCTGAGACGCCTGTTCCAGCTTCACCTGCACCCTGTCGTCCGCGTCCAGAGGTTGTTGATTTTCTGGTCACATGGTCTGCTTCAGTGAGGCTGAGCACCCGTGCCGTGAACATATTCCTGTTCCGCGAACGGGCCCCAGGGGAACGCGATGTAGGATTGGTCATGCGCTTGATCCCGATTGACAAAGATGACCCAGACAGCCCATCCTATCACAGCATCGGCTTCTACTACTGGGACATTACTCCACTTGCAGGCGGCGACGGTAGCTGGAGAGGTCGCCCGCTGAAGGTAGATATGAACAGCAGGCTGTCCTACGCTCTACCAGGCACAAGTGTCGACTTGACCTTCGACGTGGCTGCTGGTCTGCGTCGGGCGCCCCTGGGAACTACTGACTTACAAATGGCGAAGGCGAAGGACATGCGAGAGCCAATCCCTGAGGACCTCATTCGGCTGAATGACATATTCGTTGCGTTGTATGAGCACGACGCTACATCGCAACAAGCTGGAGAAGCGCACCCGGCAGCAGAGGCGAATACGCTGGGCGACTCCAACTCCTGCGGCATTTGCGGGCAGCACGTCAGCTTCATCGGCAGCCCAGGCGGTGATCTGCAGGTGTAGCTGGTTGCAACCAAATCAGCCACTCCTCCTCCTCCTCCTCCCCCTCCTCCTCCTCCTCCTCCTCCTCCTCATCGTCCTCGCCCTCATCTTCATCCTCATCCTCCTTTTCCTCTTCCTCTTCCGCCTCCCCCCCCCCCCCCCACCTCCTTCTCCCCCGCCTCCACGTCCTCCTCCGCGCGCCTCCCTCCTGGTGGGAGGTGGAGGGGGTGAGGGGCGAGTCGTGCTTCCCTCAGGTTGCGCATCCGCAGCTGTGTCCGCGCTGCAGGACGTACCATCACGTTACGTGCTCACTGCGATTGGGTCGAAGCCTTGGTGACACGCACGCCGAGACAGGACGTCGCATCCTCATCCCATCCTCCCCCTCGTGCTCCGTATCCTCCTCCTCCTCCTTCTCCTCCTCCTCCTCTCATCCTCTTCCTCCTTCTCTTCACCTTCACTGCGTCTCTTCCTCCTACTCCTCCCCCTGCCCCATCGCCCTTCCCTTCCCATTATCATCTTCAACCCCCTCGTCATCGCGCTTCGAGCCACTCGCGCAGGACGCGACCATATTCGGCGGCGCGCTTAGGAGGCGGGCTGGCGAAAAGGTTATATATATATATATATATATATATATATATATATATATATATATATATATGGTGTTTTTTTTTTGGGGGGGGGGGTCCAGAAGGCTGGGTGCTTCTGGGGGCGTCGCATGGCCGAAGCCCGCCTTGCCTTCTAAGAGCCCGCCGCCTCTGCCCGCGTGACATGGCCGAAACCAGAGGAATTCTTAGCAGCGCCTTGCCTTCTAAGAAAACCGCCCCTGTCCCCCCGCCCACCTCGGCACGCCGCCGACATCTTGAGGGCGCCCTGACCGTCGATGCTGGCTTGGACAAGGAGCGCGTCATCATCGCGCTGAATGACTTGTTTGAGATGTGTCGCTGTCTGAACGCTTCATCTTTTTGCGGAGTATGTCAGGCCGCATTGGGGCCACATTTTGCTGAGATGGCCGCGAACGACAACGATGACGACGTGGTCGAGGTTGACGAGGCCTAAACTTTTTCGGCCAGCCCCTGCTCGACCTCGACAACGACGACGAGGTCGGTGGGTCGATTCATGACTGCATGGGCATCTTCGGCCACATCCAGCTCGTGGAGATGTTGGCCTGGTTTCGCGCTGGCAGCAGCGACGGCGGACGACGCCCGCGAGTTGCCAGCTGGTCTGTGGAAAATGTGATTATCGATCCTAGCATCACCCACAAGGTTGCACCCTTGCAGCCTTGGTCATTCGGCAAACTAATTTAGAAAGACCTCGACGCAGGCCCTGAGGGGACTTGCATCCTTACCTGGATGTACACTTGGGGGTTCCCCCCAACCTTGGGGGGGTGACATGTTGGGGGCTCCCCCTCTTCTCCCAAACCTTGGGGGGTGCCAGGTTGGGCCCCCCCCCAACCTTTGGGGGGTAACACCTTGGGGGCTCCACCCAACCGTGACGCGGTGTAGAAATGACGTGCCAGGTTGGGGGCTCCCCCCGAACCTTGGCGGGATGCCATGTTGCCCCTCCCCCCCCCTCTTCCCAAACCTGGGGGTTGGTGCCGGTTTGGGGGCTCTCCCCAACCTTGGAAGGGGTGTCAGGTTGCACCCCCCCCCCCCCCCTCCCCAACCTTGGGGGGTGCCAGGTTGGGGGCTCCCCCCAACCCTGGGGGGTGCCAGGTTGGCCCCCCCCCCAACCTTGGGGGTGCCACGTTGGGCCCCCCCCCCAACCTTGGGGAGGTGCCAGGTTGGCCCCCCCCAACCTTGGGGTGCGCCGGGTTGCCCCCCCGCCCAACCTTGGAGAAGGGTGCCAGGCTGGGGTGCCCCCCCCCCCCAACCTTGAGGGGTGCCAGGTTGGGCACCCTCCCCCAACCTTGGAGATGGGGTGCCATGTTTGGCCCCCCCCCCAACCTTGGGGGGCGCCAGGTTGCGCCCCCCCCCCTAACCTTTGGGGGAGGGGGGGCAGGTTAGGAGCTCCCCCCCAACCTTGGGGGTGCCATGTTGCCCCCCCCCCCCCCCCCCCCCCCCCCCAACCACGACGGGATGCAAGGTTGGGGGCTCCCCCCCAACCTTGGGGGTGCCAGGTCTCCCCCCCCCCCCCCCTCCCAACCTTGGGGGGGTGCCATGTCGGGGGCTCCCCCCAACCAGAGGGGGGGGTGCAGGTTGGGCACCCCCCCCAACCTTGGGCGGGTGCCAGGTTGGGCCCCCCCCCCTGAACCTTTGAGGGTGGTCACGTTGGGGGCTCCCCCCCAACCTTGGGGAGGCCAGGTTGGGAGCTCCCCCCCAACCTTGGGGGGTGCCAGGTTGGGCCCCTCCCCCAACCATGGGGGTGCCATGTTGGGCACCCCCTCCCAAACTTGGGGGGCGCCATGTTGGGCCCCCCCCCCTGATCTGAAGGGGTGCCAAGTTGGGGTCACCCCCCAACCTTGGAGGGCACCAGCCTGCCCCCCCCCCCCCCTTCCCAACCCTGAGGGGCGCCAGGTTGGGGGCTCCCCCCAACCTTGGGTGGGTGCCAGGTTGGGGCCCCCCTCCAACCTTGGAGGTGGTCACGTTGCCCCCCCCCCTCCCCTTGCGGGGCCCGAGGGGTATCAAGTTGGGGGCTGCCCCCAACCTTGGGGGGTGCCCTCCCCGGCCTCGTCCTTGCTCTCGTCCGCCTCTCCCATCCGCCTGCTGCTGCTGTTGCTGCTACTCTTCATCCCCCTCCTTATCCTCCTCTTTTGGGGGGGTGATGCGTTGTGAGGGTGCCCCCCCAATCTTGGATGCGACGCGTCGGGGGCTGACCCACGCCCAGGGGTGTAACACATTGTGCGCCGGCCGTTGCCATCGTATGGATTGAGGTCGGTTTGGCCAGGACATATGCTTGCAGTTTTGCCAGGGCCGCCTGCGCGCTGCGGCTTGGCGAGCGCAGAGGGGAAGAGCGCAAGCAAGTCCGATCTCTCCATGAGTCATTCGACTGGGCGGACCACGCCTTCGCACGGCTGGACGCGGACGGCGGGCTCGACACTGCTCGGTTTAAGAACCTCTTCGGCAACCGCGCGATCAGGGCCAGCTCGGCCTTTTTTTCTGGAATTGGGGCCCGTGAGCTGGCAGAATCAATCATATCGAATACCATGCAGAAGCGGCTGATGGGATCTTGTGGTCGTGAATGCAGTGGCGCTAAGTTCATGCAGGCGCATGCGATCGAGGAGAGTGCGAAGTGTCAAGAGGAATTGCTCAACTCCCCACACTGCGCTCCAGACCACTTATTTGTCGACATCATCGACTTCATGCCGAGGCACATTCAAATCAAATGCGGCAAGCACAAGGGCACTGAGCTATCCGCGCAGGAGCTGAAGAAGATGATTCCAAAGTGCCAGCCTCTTCCCAAGGCGCGGTGCGTGAAATGCGGTAACCTCTGCAAGATTCCCACCGGCGACTTCCACGTGGCGGGTCCCCCATGCTTGGACGACTCGTCTATGGGGAAGCAACGCCACAAAGATGGTCCTCAATCCAAAGTGTTGTGCAGCTGGGTCCGTCTGATGCGCTTGCAGAGGCCGAAGGTGATCTTGCACGAAAGCGTTTTGAAGTTCCGGGGCGCTGAGCTCCGGGAGCTGATGTCAGACCTTTACGTTGTAATTCGTGCAGTCGTTGACCCCGCGACGCTTGGCTGGCCCGCACGTCGACCACGACAGTACTGCGTGTTGGTCCTGAAGTCTTGGATCGTTGAGCAGATTCACACACATGTTCCTTCTGTGGACGCCAATGTCATCGAGAAGCTGAACTTCTGCAACAACCCACAGAGATTCTTGTCCAGGAAAATGCTCCCAGGATACACGCTCGAGGACTTCATGCTTGCATGCCAGTCGGAGCTGGACTAGTACCTCACTTGGATGAAGGGTCGCAAGTACGCACACAAACGTTATGAGGACAATGGGCTTGACAGGCCTCAGCACTTCACCTCCGATACCGCGCTTCCCAAGTCTGAAATGAGGCGTCGGGGAGACCACTATGTATTGTGGCCTCGCGGAACTGGCGACCTCAACCAGAACTCGCTTAACGGGCCTATCCATTCGACCAACGGCATTGTGAACGCGATCATCAAGTGCACTGGCGTCCTCCGGCACCGCGACTCTCATCGTCCACTGGCGCCTTCAGAGCTGGCAACCTCGATGGGCCTCCCAATCACGGCGGAGCACCAAGCCATCGCTCTGTCCAATCATACCCTTTCTCGAGGTGTCCATGCTCCAGGTTGCCGCACTATCAGGTCTCAGACGACAGCGACTGGCAATGGCATGCATGTGGATGCTGTGGGCGGTTGCACTCTGATGATCATCGCGCTGCTTCCGAACCTTGGCACCCACGCGCCAATCATGGTGTTTTCGTCTTCATCGCCAGGATCGCCTCGCAACAGGGAGCCCAAGCGGCCCCCGGCCAGTGCCTTTCCTCAAGCGTTCCAGGTGCTGGTGAAGAGCAAGCGGGTGAGGCGTGAGTAAGGGCCAGCAGTCGTAGGTCGTAGGTGCATCGTAGGCACTCTAGGATCATGTGTTTTTGATTCCAGGGATGCCAAGGGTAACAGACACGATTGTTCCCAACCATCCTGTGGTGTTGGGTCCTCGTTTTGAAGAGACGTCGCCCCGCGTTCTCCTCCTCTCCTCCTCCTCCTCCTCCCCCTCCTCCCTCCCTCCTCCCACCATCATCGTCATCATCATCATCGCCGTCGTCATCATCATTATCATCATCATTATCATCACCATCATCATCGTCACCAAGCATCAACATCATGGCCGCCATCATAACCATCATCGTCATCATCACCATCATCGTCGTCATCACCATCATCGTTGTCCTCGTCGCCATCATCGCACGTTTCGTGGCCCCATACGGAGCTCCACCGAAGGTCCCAGTGGGTGTGCCCGCATGCGTCCCGCACACCCATTTTGGCACACCCCTCACACGTTTCGTGGCCCCATAGGGAGCTCCACCTAAGGTCCAAGTGGCGCAGCTCGCATGGCGCCACCGCCCCATTTTGGCACACCCCTCACACGTTTCGTGGCCCCATAGGGAGCTCCATCTACGGTCCAAGTGGCGCAGCTCGCATGGCGCCACCGCCCCATTTTGGCACACCCCTCACAGATTTCGTGGCCCCTCAGGGAGCTCCTTTTGGCACACCCCTCACACGTTTCGTGGCCCCATAGGGAGCTCCACCTAAGGTCCACGTGGCGCAGCTCGCATGGCGCCACCGCCCCTTTTTGGCACACCCCTCACACGTTTCGTGGCCCCATAGGGAGCTCCATTACGGTCCAAGTGGCGCAGCTCGCATGGCGCCACCGCCCCATTTTGGCACACCCCTCACAGATTTCGTGGCCCCATAGGGAGCTCCACCTAAGGTCCAAGTGGCGCAGCTCGCATGGCGCCACCGCCCCATTTTGGCACACCCCTCACACGTTTCGTGGCCCCATAGGGAGCTCCATCTACGGTCCAAGTGGCGCAGCTCGCATGGCGCCACCGCTCCATTTTGGCACACCCCTCACAGATTTCGTGGCCCCTCGGGGAGCTCCTTTTGGCACGCCCCTCACACGCTTCGTGGCCCCATAGGGAGCTCCACCGAAGGTCCACGTGGCGCAGCTCGCATGGCGCCACCGCCCCTTTTTGGCACACCCCTCGCACGCTTCGTGGCCCCATAGGGAGCTCCATTTACGGTCCAAGTGGCGCAGCTCGCATGGCGCCACCCCCCCATTTTGGCACACCCCTCACACATTTCGCGGGTGTGCATGGAGAAGCATGCGAGCGCGCCCTTCGTGGGCGACCTCAAGCGCCGCGACGACAGCCCCACGGGGGACCTCGCGGGCCCGCTGGTGTTCATCGAGCCCCGCACGTCGGAGCCGTTCACCTTCCGCACCTCCAAGGTGACGCGGGCGGGCTTCCCGTTCTCGCACGGCAGGGTCATCGCCGCGGTGGCGTGCCAGGGGCGCACCATGCGCGAAGGCGACGGGGCGGGGGAACGGCGCTCCGGGGACGGCCAGACCTCCGGGGCGCGAGCAGTCCGCGGCCAGACCTCGGTCCTGTGGACTCTCGACCTCGGCCGTCGGCTGCCTGGCGCACTGCCCCCTCGGCCGAGTCGCCCAGGTGTGATCCTGGACTGCGGCCGCCGCGAGGTCGGGAACGGCGAGAAGGAGGACGACGACTGGTGGCTGGAGCTCTATGTGCTGCTCTCGCGCGCCACGCGCCACGAGGACCTCCTGCTCATGCGGGCGCCGCGCGTCGAGATCTTCCTGGCAGGACCGCCGGAGGGCCTGCGAAAGCAGCTGGAGCAGTTTGCAGCGCGCACGAAGCGGCGCAGGAGGGAGGCGACGGCCCGCGCCAGTGAGCTCGGCTTCACCGAGTTTATCCGCGAGGCCTGACCTGAGGAGCGCCCCCCCGAGCCGCGCCTTCTTTCGACTGCCCGCATAATTGTTCGGCCTCGTGCCGCGGACGACCTGCGCGCGTCGCTGGGGCCCTCTCGGGGCGACCAGCGCGCGTCGCGGGGATTCCGCGCGGCGCTCTGCTCAGCGCCTCGCTCGCCCGTCGTCGCTCTGCCCGGCGGCCGGAGCATTGCCCGCAATCAGCCGGCCGGCTAGCTCTCTGTGCTCCGCGCAGCGGACGACCTGCGCGCGTCGCTGGGACCCCTCCGCGGCGACCTGCGCGCGTCGCGGGGGCTCCGCGCTGCTCTGCGCCCGCAGCTTTGGATTTTTGGAGCGCGCAGGCAAAGAGGGGGGGAAAGAAGGGACGGAAGCGGGTGCGATCCCCGTGAGGGGCGTGCCGACATGGGCGTCGCGGCGCGCGGGCGCCGCCGTCGGGGCCCCCGCGGAAGCTGCCTGCGGCGGCCACGCCCAGTGCCACAAGTGTTCGGACAGGCATGCTCGAGCCATTCACATTCATATACATTTACACTAGGCGTAGCCAAGATCGCATTCATGCAAATATACTCACTCCCACGCAGACCCATTCACACTCAGACTCTCTCGCGCTCTGGCTCACCCGCGTTCATTCTTTCGTAATCTGACCTATCGTATTCCTTTGCGTTGTGTACCCCGCCATATTTCGGCATGCCCCTCATGCGGTTCGTGGCCCCATTGGGGGCGCCACCGAAGAAGGTACTCACAATTGCGGCACTCACAACTGCACATGGTTGGGTCTTTCGCCAGGATAGTTTTTAGAACACAACCCTTTCCTGACAGATTATTTCGAAACCGCGCGCATGTCGAATGAGCCTCGCAAAAGCAGGGCAACCGAATTCCCACGTTTAGTTCAGAGGTGTGCAAGACATCTCGTAGGAGCTCGATCGCAGGGAGAGGTCGGAACCATAGCTTGAGAAGTCCACTGCCCGAGAGTGAACATTAAAACTGTTGTCGCATCCCCATATTCCCTCTTACTTAGCGCTGCTGCGGCACGCCTCTTGACTGAGAAGGACAACGTCCAAGGCGCGAAGGTAATCGCGCGTCGCTGCTCGCGGCCTGGGTCAAAGACCGCTCTTCTCCAGGGGTTGTGGCGATCCGGCGAGGGCGCCATGATGATCGCGCGTCGCGCAGCTAAGTGATGCGTGACCTAGGTTGAGTTGGGGGATACGTGTTGAAGGTTCGTGGTCCGTTCTGGTGCTGGCAGCTGTTTTAGCTTGCACCGTTTTAGTTTTGTTCTCCGGGCCTCCTACTGTACATCAGCCCAGTCTTCCAGATGAGCGAAGATGGTGCATCGCCGAGCCGCGGGAAGCGCTCATGTTGTCGATCCCGCTCGCCTCGTGGCCTTGGTGGCGGCGCCTTGCAGACGAACTCCTCCTCCTCCTGGTCCTTCTCCTCCTCCTCCTCCTCCTCCTTCTCCTCTTATCCTCCTCCTCCTCTCCTCGTCCTGTCCTCCATTCTCATGGTCCCTAGGTGGTGATGCCGGGGCAAGCTCGGCCGATGGCATCTTGAGCGCAAGCCAGATTATCGCCGTGGTCTCGTCTGATCCCGGCGCAGGGGACAAGAAGGAACTCGAGTCGTTCCTGAAGGATGCTGGGTCCTCCTACGACCGCTTCGACAACGCAGCGGAGCCAGTCGCGATCCGCTACCCGACAGCCAAGGGCGCCGTCTTGAACAGGAAGCTGCGCGAGACCCACGGCCGCCCTGGACAATATAATTCGCCGTTCTTCCTCCCAAGCGGCAAACGGATGCTGCGGGGGCATCCACTGAATGATGGGGGCGAGAAAGATACGAGAGACACGCCATTGCGAGGACATCAAGCGAGACGGCGTCATCGAGGGCGGCAGGTCCGAGTGCATTGCGATCATCAAGGTCGCGAACAACGAACCTCAGGCTTACTTCTCAGCAGGGGCGACTCTGATGGAAGCAGCTTATCAAGCTTTCGAAAAGGGCCCCTGACAATGTGCAGGTGCAGTTTACGAAATCAATGGGGATGCACAATGTGTGTATATTCGACAGCAGGACGCCTGACGACGTCTCTCGCCACTACGTCGACCTGCAGAACGAAAGGAATCGCCCGGGGAATTGCCGCGGTCACATCGAGACGCACAATGACGCGCAGATGATTTCAAAGAACTGGGAAGCCAAATGCAAACAGGAAGCTCAGGAGCGAAGGAAGCAGAAGAAAGAACAGCAGGAGAAGAAGGATAACATCGAGGCAGTCACAGGTAACGACGATAATAAGAAGAACGCACCTTCAGTCGAAACTCGATACCGCTTGTACGTCACCCAGACTTACCCGTTGAAGCCCCCAAAGTACGAGCCTTGCTGCGACGCGAAGGAGGGCGTGAACAAGATGAAGAAAATGGGCGCGCGGGACGACTACAAGACCTACTGCCGCACGTTCTGCAAATATACAGATCAAGGCTTCCACTGCCGGCACGTCTTATTTATCAACAGTGAGGCGTGCCAGCTTTTGATAAAGCATGACTCGTTATGGTCAGCGTGTCTGCCTCTCCTGAAGTTGGCTGTCCCGGCGACCCATGGCAAGCCGTGGCTTCTGTGTGGCGATGCCCATGCAAAGGCCCTGCCTTGCCTCCTGCCCCCATTGACAGAGACGAAGGCGTTCCAGCTCAACATTCCCCCCCCCCCCCCCCTCCAGCAGACGAACAGCGCAGTGTTTGCGACGGGGAAGCAGGAGAATGCAGATAAACCAAAGAAGAGGGCCAAGTCTAAGCAGCCCAAGGCATCAGAGGAGATATCAGCGACGGCCATGGACAAGGACGGCGTCAGGACTGCGTTCTTGCTGAATGATATGCTCGCGTCAATCAAAGTAGGCACCCAGGGAGTCAAAGCACCAGACGAGGAGTTCGTCGACAAAGCTCTGGAGTGGCGCTTGACATTCACACTCAGTGATAAGACCCAGGGGATCGGTCTTGATATCGGCAAGGCCCCAAATACCAAGCATAAGAGGTTCACATCATGGACTGCGCTACGAAAAGTGATTAAGAAGAAACTTGTCGATCACCACTATGGCCACGAACGTGACGATGACAAAGCTGAGGCTAAGGAAGATTCAAAGTTACAAGAGGATGAAGATGCAGATGTCGAACAAGAAGAAGCTGAGCTTCCCGTCCAAGGTGGAGATGGCAGCGGGTCGACTCTCAATGTGGTCGGGGTCCCTCAGAAGTTCCCAAGGGTGGCAAGTCGGACGGCGGTCTTCTTGAAGGAGAATCCACCAAAAAGGGCGATCCAGATGGCTTTGAAATCGCACGATGCCCTTAACCGTATCAGAGTGTTCCTTTGGAGGGAGATGCCGCGTATGCTTGCTGTAAGATCTGAAAATGCTGAATCCGCCATGAAGGACATCATCGCGCCCACGCTGCAGTCGAAGATCTTCGAGGAGGTACCTCCAGAGACAATCCAGCTCGCGCGCAATGTCTACAACGAGGTCGGAAGAGAGGATTGGAAGAGGCCCGACTGGTACAAGTCTTTCGGCCCGAAGGCATCCGGGCTCAATGATTTGTGGGATGACTGCGAAAGCCTTGAGACGCACCGGCAGTTCCGAACCCTGTGCATGAATCACTGCATGACGGAGTTGCTTGAGCTCGTAGCGGACAAGGAGTTCAATATCACTGATTTCGAGGACTTTGCATCATACAAGAAGTCACTTATCAATATTTGCAGATGCGGCGAGAAGTTCTTGACGACGAGCCTGGCAGACATCGCCGTTTTGGACGCAAACAAGAACAGGGCCGATACTTGGACACACTTCGGGGCTCGAGTCTTGAAGAAGGGTGCTCAGCTCAGTTCTGGCCAGATGCAAAGTCGCGACGATCATGAGTGGGAGGAGCTGCAGAAACAGTGGACCTCATCAATTAGCAGGCAGAAGGTCGAGGAACTTCGCGAGCTCTTATCGGCCCAGCGTGGCGTGACGCTGGAAGATCTCAAGAGGACTCTGAAGGGCAATATCGTGACGGAGCTCGTCGCAGACAAGCTGGCATGCGAGAAGAGGGCAGAGGACAACTTGGCTAAAGAGTGGGAGAAGTTGAAGAACGGCGCCCTCGAGTCGCTCACTAATGGCATGGACGCGGACGGCGTGGGCGCGCCTGTGGAAGGTCAGGCTCCAGATGATGGAGGCGACCGCGGCGACGCTGGCGACGCCGGCATGATCAAATTCAACGCGCAGCTGGACTCGCACGTGCTGGCTCAATGGAACTCTGGAGTCTACGCAAGCATTGTTCAGTCTTGGATGCTCAGTCGACTTACATCAGGTGAATACAGCGACAAGGGGTTGGACAATATCGTCTAAAAGATGCCTGTCAAGACTGACGCCATGGGACAGCCAATCACGCGTTTGTATTGCCGCCCTGAAGGGGCCGACGCGGTGAAGTTCTTCTCCATGGGGCGGGTCTCCGCAAGTATGAATGGCCAGTCTCTTGGATCCAAGACCTTCGTTGGCGCAGGGCCTGTCGATCACTGCCAGACTCATCGCTACTTCGTCATGCCAGTGCAATCGACCATCGTCCCCAACACACCGACGCCAGCCTGTGCATGGATGGTTCGAGCTGTGGGGACGCCGACGGATGAGGACACAGACGAGAACACGAAGGCAGAGGAATATCCTCCTGCAGTGAAGTTCGAGTACGTGGACGTTACACTGAACGACTGCTGCAATGGGAGCAAGATCCCCGACATCAGCGTGACCTTGACCTACCTGGTCATCGACCGCAGCTTCTATGCGGATCCTGACGGCAAGGAGGAGTTCGAGCTGAAGCGCCCGTACTTACCTTGCGAGGTGGTCCTCCTGCTCCTCCTCCTCCTCTTCCTCCTCCTCTTCTCCTCCTCCTACCAGCGGCAATGCAGGACGCCGAAAGGCGCCCAATCTTCCCAGGCCCGTGCCCGGTGCCCCGCGCATCGAAGCCGAACTGCTGCCGAGGTCGCTCGCTCGCTCGCTCGTTCCTCCTCCCTCCTCCTCCTCCCTCCTCCTCCTCCTCCTCCTCCTCCTCCTGCTCCCTTCTCCTCCTCGCTCCTACCTTCCCTTCTACCTTCTCCTCCTACCTTCTCCTCTTCCTCCTCAGCCCTCCTCCTCAAACCTCGCTCGTCGAAAGCTCATCTTCTAAACCCTCTCTCTGACGGGTGGCGGCGAATAAGCTGAAGCTCGAGCGCAAGCAGGGGCGGAATGAGGAAGGCCGCGTTCGAGAACTCGGAGGAAGGCACCCTGCGCAAAATCGGCAGGCACCTTCTGAAGTAGGCCCCAGAGGTGGGGCCCAGCACCTGCGCCCGTACACGACACGAGTGGAGGAGTAGGAGGAGAAGGGGAGGAGAAGAAGGAGATAGGTAGAAGAAGAGAAGGAGGAAGTGTGCATGTGCGTAGGTGCGCTCACAGTGCGCGCGCTTCGTATTGCGGTCAATGTAATGCGGTTGCAACTGACCGCACGCTCGGGAGAGGCGCGAGGCCTCGCATGCTGAAGCAGATCTTGCGGCGAACACCGCGTGGACGCCAGCGTTGGAGCGAGATCATCTCATCGATCGTCGACCGTCGTTGGCGTTCGTCGTCGTCGCTGGCACCGTCGGCTTGCGGGCCGCTCTTGCCGCCGGCAGGGGGAAAGGAGGAGGAAGAGGAGGAGGAGGATGAGGAAAAGGAGAGTGAAGAGTAGAAGCACGACGGCTGGGCTAACGCCTGCTCCTCCTCATACTTCCTGGGAAGGCCGCGACGCACGAGGCGCGATTATTTGCTCTCCCTGCGCTCCCCTCGTCTGCTTTCCGTGCCCATTCTCGGTGCCCCGTCGTTATTTGTTTGCCACTTGGCCTCGTGGGGCCCAGGGAATTTCGCGAACTCTGATCGCGGCCCTTGGGGTGGCCCCTTCAAGAAAACGAGAATCACCCCCCCCTGCGACAGGAAAAAAAACCAACGAGGTTGCGTTTACAAGTATGACCCCTCAAAAACAAGAAAGGAAACGTTACTCGACCATTGGAAAAGAAAAAAAACTACAGCTGAAAACAGGAACAAAAAAAAAAGAAAACGGCGCAGCGCAACAAGGAGATCTTCTCTCCTTCTGAGGCCCCAAAGCTAGGATATCAAAAAACGCGAAAAAAATCACCCTCGAAGCGGCCACTTTCTGACGAAATGTTTCGACGTGTATGCACGTACTCAGCCCTGGGCTTCGCGCGTTGTCGTCAGCAAGTCGTCTCGCTGTGGCTGGGCTGGCAAACTCTATGTAACTGAATCTCGCCCGGCCATCCTCAGACATGCAGATAGTGAAGATGATGTCGTCCTTTGGCGAGTCCGCGATTACCGCCTGGAGGTCGGCTCCAGGGA